TCACAAATATATATGTATACATATTTTAAACTTTCAGATCAATAGTTTAACAATTTGATTTCTGTATAAAGACATCCCTATAGATGCATTAAGGCCTTCATATTTGGTATTTATGATCTTGATGGGTAAGATGTTGTCCCTTTTTCATACATTTTTAGATGAATATTGACACATACATACATAAGTTAAGTGACATCTTCGTTGATATATGATTTATCCATTGGAAAGGGGAGTAATGTTGCATAATGCAAGGGAGGTGAGCACTAGCTTGAACTCACTTGAACCTTAGCTTGACTCTTTAACTTGAACTCATCATTGACCTTGCTAAAGTTCAGTATAAATAAATTTGAATATACCCAAAAACATACATATATACTCGTATGTGTCATCGTATTAACGGTATGTTAGCACCGACTATCAGGGCCGTAGAGAGAAAATCGAGGCTAAGCGATAATATAAGATGCGGGCCCCCTGATCTTGAGAACTTCGGGCCGTGGAGGAATTGTCCTCGATCTCCCTTCCTCTCTCGTTCGCTGGGGACAAAGTCTAGAGTGCTAATCTAATTACAATATTTCAAACTACAAAACCACAGGTTTCCCAATTCCTATTCAATAAACTCCTATGTCAGCGGTTGACTTACACTTCCTGTATTCTGTTGCCTCTTATCGTATTCCGATTTAATGGTCGTGGCTGCCAATTGCCATATAGACTGAAAGAAGGCTTTGTTTACAATTATTATATCATGAAAGTTTGCCAGATCGTAGAGAATGTTGTGGGTCATAACCTTTTCTTTATTGTTTTTTGACTTATGCTATCCTCCTACTACAGTTCCTCAACTTTTTTCTGGTTCTTAAGTTGTAAACGGGCTCTGCCGTAAAAGATCTGGGATAAATGAAGGAGACTTCGCAGAGGTAAATTATTGATTAAAGCAGAGACGGTCGAAGGATACATTTGCTCGTGCATGTCAAAAACTTGGATAGATATTGGTTAAAGCTTTGTCACAGAATTATGGTAGGTGTCTTAAAGTTAACCTAAAAAAGAAAGACTCATATACTAAAGAGTAAAGCATGCTGTAGCGCATTACTGTAAATTACTTTTTGCGTAAATCCCATAACTTTATGTTATTCATAGGCTTTAATGCCTAACCCAAATTTTTAGAAATTTTAATTTTTTTTTCTTATATTTACAGCAACAAATTTTACACTTCCGCCGCTGACAGCAAAATGGCCAGTAAGCCGAAATTCAGCTTTGAAAGTCAGCCACAGGTAACCATCGACGATGTGGACGACAATGACGAGGACCGGATTGCTGCAAGCTTCGCCGGACGAACACTCTTCATAACAGGCGGCACTGGCTTCCTTGGCAAAGTGCTGGTGGAGAAATTACTCAGGTAACTGATACCAAAAACAAACAGGTCCAAGACCACGAATTGTGCGTGTCGCTGCGGCTTGCAACGT